TGATCTTTCAATTTGAATTTGATTTGATTTGAAAATCTATATTTGAATTTGATTTGAAATCAAATATTTGAATCAAAACAAATCAAATCAAATGCAGAATCCTAACAACTACAGAAAAGTTTTATTGGCCTATCACTTTTTTTAAGAAAATTTTGTTATTTTAGCTTACCTTCTCCAAAAGATTAATATATAATGTTCCTAAATAATTGATATTATTTATTTACCAAACAGAATAATAAACAGATATTAGGAATAAGTAACCAAATACAAATTATATAACAATACAAATAGGTTACATATCTTGAACTAAAAAAACTATTCAAATAATATTTTGAGACTCTTGTTTCTAAGACTACTTTGTCTAGTTTATTTTAGTTTAGCTAACTTTTTTTTAATATTGATATAGTTTTTTTATCTATATATATATTATTAGAATAGAGTTAGATACAAAGCTTTTTTATCTTGTAATATATAATTTTTGAAGGCCTAATACAGGTCTATAATAATGACTGTCAGATTATTTTTTCTTTTTTTCCCTTATTTTTCATCTGTTTTTGTTTTTAGTAGTAATTGTACTTAGCCAAAAAAATGTTACTTGGTTAACTGATGAGTAAACCCATAGGTTACTCAGGCAATTAATAGATATACCTGAGTATAAAATCTTACTCATTATACCCAAGTAAGTTGTCATGTGATTGGTTACATGAATTATTGTAGCCAATCAAATTTATATTTGTTGGAGTTTTTGTTTGTGTAAAAATTACTTGGGTGAACCTACCCAGGTAGCTCTAGTAATTATCTAGTTTTCATAATTTCTGAAACATCTGATAAAAAATCTACCAAATGATTTTCAGCTGTATATACAGTCATATCTTTTTATAATCATACTTTTGGGCACAACAAAAATCGTGATTATATAGAGGTGTGATTATAAATAAAATTTTTTAAAATTTATTTATTTATAGTAAAATAATTTGATTGGTTAAATTTTAGATCACATGACCTTTTTATAAATTAATTTTTATATTTAAATATATACTAATATTTATTTATAATATATAATAAAATTTAATTAGCAAAATATAATAAATAATATATATAATATAATATAAAATATATAAATTTTGATTTAAACTATCATTATATAAAAATATTAAACTTTTTGAAAATAATCAATAATAGAACTTTGTTTTTTCAAATCTAATAAAATTCTATTCATAATTTTACTATATTTTTTTAATATTTTTATATCTTTCATATCAAAGTCAGGGATTCTTGCTGTTCAAAAAAAGATAACCATGTTTTTAAAGAATTATATGCTTCTTGTACAGATATTTTCAATAGTTTCTTATCTGAGTCTTCTTGATTATCTTCAATAATATTATCTTCATTTTGGACAATAGTAATTATTTGTTGATCTGTTAATACTTCTTCTGTAGTAATAATTTGGTCAACGTCATTAAAAAATCAACTATTGTAGAAGTAAGAGTAGTAGAATAATCATCCTCTATAGAAAACCTATTTAGAAGTATATCAAGATCATTATGTTTAAGTAAATT